ATATATATATATATATGTCCCAATGCTTAATGGTTCTTTTTATTTGGAGGTGAAATGCAACCTGGCTTGATTTTGTGAGATTCACTTACACAGTTTGGTTGAGCTATATTATTGGGCCTATTTTAATTTTGGATCACTATAGCCTAACGTTCCCTTTATATTGCTCCAAATAGAAAAGTTATAGGCACTTAATATCAGTCACTTACATTATACAGAGGGACAGATTAATGCCGGAACGTCCATGCTGCATAATCTGACAAATCATTTAGTTACAGTGCATTACCAACAGAGCTAGTGCAACAGCAGAACTTGCCCATGACACACTACTACTACAAGGTCACTATCTTTCATAGAGGCCTTTTCTTGTCCATTTATTCCAGACGAACATGTCTCAACTAAAGGGTTTTATTTTGATTAGTGGTTCCTCTCAGCAGGTAGAGTTTGAGGCGTGTGTGTGTCAGCTGTGAGTGCTGACAGCAGCGTCTGGCCCTCACACACACCGCTCCAGCAGGGGAGCCTGGCTGCACCGTACAGCATTTCTATATCAGCAGCACACTCAGTGTGCAGCCTCCACAACATCACACAGACACACACACACACCATTCATAAAGAATACAGGCACCATCTAGTGCTTTCAGTTGGCAAAGACTTATAAATACAAAAGTACATATTTAAAATCCATGCACAATTTAAATCACAATACAAACTTAAAAATGCCCTACTGAGCACCTATAGTACGCTACTAAAGTAGATATTCATTTTAATTAGTGTTAGGTCTGAGTCCACCTTGTAGACTCAAGTCCTAGTCTTTAACTGAGTTTGAGTGGCAGATTTGTCTCTATTTACTGATTTCTACTGATTTTTTTTTTTATGTTTTAATGTCACACATGACATGGATTAGTCTGTACTTTGAACAGTTTCCAGTCCAAAATGTCAGAATCTGTCAAGTCTGAGTACAAGTCCACCTGAGTACGTCCGAGTCTGTCTCTGTCCGATTATATATATATATATATATATATATATATATATACAGTGATCGAATTGTTCAAAAATTTCAGGGGGGATGGTGTGGTCAATTTATTTTTCCATGGGGGGGGGTGTAACATATAAATAATGTATGTGGGTTACATTATATTACATAATTATTACAACATTTGTTTAATTTTTAAAAAGGTTTTTATTTAATGAAAAATTAGCCTTATTAAATAAACTATTATTTATAAGCTTTTTTTTCCTTATGGGGCCTGAAATGGAGGAATTTTGGTCAATATTGATAATTAAACTATATTTTGCTAAATGTGTTTTTGTGCTGAAACCTTGGCCGGTTTAGGCCTGTCATGGATAAATAATGATGACAATAAAACCGCCAGTAGGTGGCAGCAAGTCCCTGTTTTAATAAATGATTTATTGAATCATTCAAATCAAACGATTCGTTCAAAGCGGCTGATTCAATTAGAAACGAAACTAGTGTCCATCTGAATGGGCCGTTGAATCACTGGCTCACTCGATTCGTTCAAAAATGTATTAATTCAAGGAACAAAACACCTTGTTGCTATGCACAATTGTGCTCGCACATGTACTGATATCCAGAAAAGTACATTGCTTGTGCAATGAATATAAAAAAACATAAAAACTCATACATGGGTATTTTTTCTTTAATTGCTTGAATTATAAGGTTATTTTTACTGTATTCTAATAGGCTTCATCGCGCAGTGAATGCTTTTGGACTCTCAAGTTTTTGTTTGGTTTTTGCAAAGTCGGTGACTCGATGTCAGCTCTCCTATCGTCTCTCAAGCCCTCACAGTAACACATACAGCACAGTAACATTATGTCAGGGGAATGTCTTTAAATTCTAATCAAGGAAAAACCATACCTTTTCTGTTGTCGTCTTTTTAAAAAACTTCAAAAGTGGCGCTTGAACCATTTTGCGCGAAAAATCATGAAAACTTGCTTCAGCGTGTGCGCAGCTTGTTACAGTACCGAATTCTGATTGGCCAATCGCTGTTATTCGTGAATTATCTTCTTAAGTAGAGAATTTTAACATTTCATTTGCATGATAAATTTTACATACACATTATTAATCCAAAGGGGATGGTAAGGGGAGATGGTGGTTTATATATGGTACAGTAGGCTTTATAGGGTTAAAAACTCTATTCTTCTACTTTTGACACTATGCCTATTACATTATAAACAGCTGTTTTCCAACTTCAGACAGCAATATTTACAATACAGAAGCAGCACAGCGTCCTTGACATTAATCCAACTTCTATAATAAATCATTTCAGGTAGTGTGGTAACCAGCGAGAGTGTATTATGATAAACGTCTGAGAGCTGTAGCCTTTTTTGTTGCTGCTGTGGGATAAACACCTGAATTGTGTCCAGCAGGCATTAGTAATGCTCTACTGAGGACAAGCAAATGGATGGAAATCAGTGGGCAGAAGACCAACAGAGATGTGTTTTCAAAAGTATGTTTCCACAATGAAATATCTGAGAACACTGAGGTTCTGTAATGCGATCAAACAGAAATATTTATTGACAGAAAATGTTTAGCAAAATGCTAGAAATATGGGTAGAAGAAATATGGTATTTTAATATGGGCCTAAGGAGAATGATACATCATGTTCAGAGACACATAACAGATTGCTGGAGAAGACAAACTGATTTCACTTTCTTAAACCTTAAATGTATGGATTCGCCAATCATTATTACATATTTGGGTCTTTTGCCACATCCAGGGGCTTCATGCACTTATTGTTTTTGAGGGGGCACAAGTAAAGGTTTGTGGCGGGCGATGGGCAAAGTAACCTAATGTTAGTGTAATCTATTAACTATGCATAAAACCCATCTTTTTACTTAAGTATTAGATATGGATGTCATGCCATAAAATATTTTTAATACGACTGACTTTGTATTTAACGTGAATTTAATAAAAACATTGTAAGTTACTAATTATAACACTTTGTACAGAAAGAGAGCAATAGCCTACATTATCAAAGAACATTTTCACTGACTTTAGTCTAGCTAGAGTTGAAGCACTCTCAAAAACTCCCATTATAATCACTGAAACTGTTTACACTGTGAAATGAATATCTTACTTACATTCGTACGCACATCTGCACTTTGTTGTTTATGATGAGAGATTTCGCCAGAGAGCAGAATTCAGTCAAGCCAGCGGGCACTTAACAAAACACCCGTGTTTCAGCGATGACTCATCTGAACGCCTCTGATTGGCCATTGCATTCATAAGCTCAACAGAATCATGTGTGATTGGTTATAATGTGCAGCGCTGTAAAAACGCATCTGGCTCAGCGCCAGCCAAAGCACGGATGCAGATTTGAATTTAGCAGTTGGTGATGTGCCACACTGAATCAAATATAACAAATATTATTTGGCTATTTTTTGTCTTTTGGAAGGTGCATTCAAAATACACTTGGGTCCCCCCCCCCTGCTTTGAATGGGCATGAAGCCTCTGGCCACATCTATTTTTTGCACAGCAAAATTCCATGGATGAAATGCAGGCTTAATGAACCTTATGTTTTGCTGCAGAAATTTTCTGTGAATGTGCCAGACTTCAAATTCATTAGCCGCTACAGGTAAACAACTAGATAAGAAAAAAAAACTAATTAATGTCATTAGCATATAAAAGAGCACCAGTCAACGTTCCAATTCTTTACTTGAGAATGGCGAGCGGCAAGAAATCCTTAAATTTCCAAATACCTGCAGTACTCTGACATGCCACAAGGAAAAGTGTGTACGCCTGTTTAGAATCTGATGTGGTGCTAAGCACTTTTTTCACATCAAAGACGATTTTATTAATCTAAATGTTGGCTTGGGTTTTTAGCGTACCCCCAATCTAAGCTCAAATCTGTGCATATAAATCTGTGCATGTATTATAAATGAGGCCCCTGATGTAAAGTATGTATGAAGAAATTGTTTGCCACTGAAAGTTTTGGGGCCTCATTTGTAAAAGGTACATATGCACAGATTTGATCTTAAAGTGTGCATATGCTAAAATCCACCTAGATGTTCAGTTCAAGTTTCAAGTTTGTTGAACTATGACGATTTCACCCTGTTGACCAACAGAAAGCTACTATTACCAATGGATAACTGGAAAATAATAATTAAAAAGGAGCTCCAAACTGCTTCATGAGGTTGGAAACCAGTTCCTTTACCAAAATTGATATTCATGGCGGTTCTCGAAAGTGCAGTCTTCTACAAAAGTAGACAGAACATCTCAATAAAATACTCTGATACTGTACACTGCAATTAGTTTTAATGAATAAATTCTGAATACATTTTTAGTGAATAAATTCTGATTCCAAAGGGGAAAAAACAGACTCCTTTTGAGCCAATTATTTTAAGTTATTTTAACTTAAAAATTAATTTAAATTATAATATAAATACAATATTTGTTCTGAATAAAAGCATGGATAAACATGTGACATATATTACGAACTAATCTTTTTATTTACTGATATTATTATTATTATTATTATTATTATTATTATTATTATGTACTTAGGCATTTTTACTTTTCTGGCATGCCTGGCATCCTCCAATACACATCCATAACGCACTGCTTTACTCAATCAAAGCCCAAAGGACTTCATAGTAAGGTAATCTTCACGTTTCATTTACAGGGTGGGTTTTCATTATTTATTTATTTTATTTTCAGTTTTATAATTTTAATGACTTTTCTTATGCACCTGCGACTTGTTTTAAGTTATATATATATATGAATACCGCTCAAGTATTCAGGTCAAACTACTGCGGTCAAAAAGCAGCAGTGAGAATACAAAGTCTCGCGAGATGCCAAGGACCAATCAGGAACGCGTATTCATGTAAACGTACAAAAAAAATGGCGGCGATGTAGAAGAGCACTCTTACCTGAATACCCAAACATTTTCTGGATTTAAACCAAATATCGCTGAGGTTTTGTAACTAGTTCAACCAAGTTATGAATACTGGAGCTGTATTGTTTATATTAGTTAAAATAAGTCATGACCGACAAGAGAAACCTCGGTGTGCGCCATATATCAGATTCGAAAGAAAGTCGGAGCAGGACTTCCAAAGTTACACAGAAGAAAATGAAAACAAAGAGACGAATGATCAGACTCAAACAGTCCCAGTCTCCGTCTTATCACACTTCATGCCACTTTCGCAAAGGTAATACAGTTGTAAGTCACAGCACAACGCGTGTCAACCGATCGCAAAGCAGATGTATGTATGTTTCTCCTTAGAAAGCAGCACTAAAGTACTGCCGCAGTGTCGTGGTGGTAGTACCATTGTACTGAATGATTATCACATTCATGTATAATGTTATTTAAGCGACACTCCCAGGTACTTCAAAGATGATTCTACAGTGGAACATGTCCAAAGACCCGCGGTATTTCTTCGTAGTGTCGACATGAAATGTTATTGTCCCCATACTAACCGTAGTGTTGTCATTATTATCTTAATTCTCAGATTTTACAACCCCAAAACACCGACCAAGAATCAGATTCAACGGTTGTTACAGTGGAGATTCGCCTAATGAGACTGAATCCCCGCAAGACATCATCTGGGATACCAACTCACCCACTCAAAATTTGAATGGCAAGTGTGGTCATAAAACTTAAAGTAGTCTGTATTTATATCCTCTTAAACAATTGTACTGATTATGGTTTGTGGTTTGGTGGTGTAAGAAACCCTATTATGTATGCAATCCAAAAAGAAAGATTGTCCATAGCCAATAATGAACAATAAGTTCTAAGCAGTATAATTACAAGTGTGTGTGTTTTTTTTTTTAAAGTTTGATTTAAGATACGTCCAACTCTATATTTTTATATTATTCCATATTTCCTTGTCTAATGTAAAACTGTTGTACATTTATCGTGGTATAAACTCTAAGATAAATTTAAAAGCTGATTGTCATGTTTTATTTTGTATCATAACACCTTTTACAGATGAATATAACTTTTGTATTTCATATACATTTGTAACCATCCACAGGACAAGGAGATGCGAGGGTCATTGAGATATCAGAGATTGTCAGTAGGATTGCACCAAAAGTAAGTATTAAACAAAGTCAAATATAGAAAGTAAAATGGAAATTATGGGTGTTGTGGTAAATGTAATCTAACAGTCATACTATGTTTAAGGTTAAGAAGGCAAATGAAGGGGACTCAGTGCTCCAGTGGATTGGAGACGGTGCCATACCCTGCACTCCAGAGATCAGACAGCCCAGAGTCAGGAGGATCTCAGCACGGTATGAATCCTCTAATCAGTAACATGCCGAATACTAGAAACATGCTGTAAACGTCATACATAAAATGACATGTAACTGAACGACACAGGGAATAGATTAGGGGCACATTTTATATGATACATTTCTAGCATACCAACCATCTCTTCACCATCTTTTTTCCCCATTACACCACTGGATCAGTGTTCACCACAGTGACTTTATGAGAAATGTATTGTAGCTTTCAGGATTTTGAGGCCATTGAGGTGAAATTTAAAGCCAAACTCCTGGTCTAATCAATATCCCTGTTGTGGTATATTATTCTGGTCATACCATCCAGCTCTAGTACACTAAAAAAAATGGTGTAGGATTTACTTTGAAACATTTTTCTCACTGAAATTGCTAGCAAATTTAAGAAATAATTATATAGAAATGGCAAGTAACATTGAATTAAACATGAAATGTTGAAGTAGAATGACTATAATAGTATTTCCTTGTAAAAGGTTCCATTAATCTTTATTTACAACTTAGAAAATCTTTTACTTTTCTTTTCTTTTGTCAGTGTATAAAAGCCTTTGAGTCAGTGTCAAAGAACATCTTCATAATAACAGAAATCTTTTAAAAATCTACTGTAAAAGCATGTGTATTCATGTTGGTTTCATTGGTTCTGAAAAACTTTTATATTGTTTTTGGCTTTATGCCAATGTATGACTTCTTAAGCTTTTTTGTCATAAAAAGAGTTGAAGAAGAGTTCAAATCAGTGTATGTACGAATTGCATTTTTTAAATGTATTTTTGAATTATATGTTTAAAAAAGTAAGGGCAAGAACTAATGCTAAAAATAGGTGTATATCTGTCAAAGGGGTAAATCTATGGAATAACTGTGATAAGGAATTAAAATTATGTAATTCACTTTGCAAATTTAAGAAAATGTATAAAAACGTGGTGTTAAATAATTATATGACTCATTATCAATAAATTGTGTAAGTATTATTTAACATATTAAGGTAATAGTTGGATTGTGTATTTCTGTAATTATGTATGTTTGAAATTAAGTATGTACATTTTGGGAAATGTATCTAATCTAGTAAAAAAAAAGTGACGTACATTGGTTAAATATGTATAAAGGGTAGGCTTAATAAGCAAGGTGTCAGACTCTGTTCCATGTGTTGTGTGTGTCCTGCTCCCCATGTGCTTTCCCATGCCCATATTTGGTTTGTTTCCTGTTCCTGTCCTGATTTAAGTTCATTTGTCCCAGGTGTTTCCCATGATGTGTCATTGCTCCCAGGTGTGTCTCGTCATCCCCTCCTCCTGTGTGTATGTATAAAAAGTGTTCCCAGTCCCAAGTTCTCTGTCCGCTGTTGAACGTCTTCCTGTGTACGTCTTCCTGTGAACGTCTTCCTGTGTTCGTCTCCCTTGGTTCCTTGGTGCAAATAAAGTCCTGTTAAAAGTATTCTCCAGCGTCTCCTTGTCCCTCGTGTGTGTGACATCGTGACACAAGGCTTCTGCCTACACCTTTTTCAGAAATTGTTCATTTATTTATTTTTTGTGAAAAGTTGTCTGTAAGGACCGAAATAAACAGAATTGATTGACTGATTGAATTAATAGATCCATGCAAGTGACATGTTATTAACCCCTTTGTTTTGGCATACACACTGAAATCACTGTCATAGATTTGTGATTTTCATATTTATGTCATGTCCCCATCTCTTTCCATTAGACAGAACAATGTTGAGGACCTCATGAAACTTGCCAAGCAGTTTGACATCAATATGACTCGTCAGGACAAAGAGAAACAACAGGAGAGCACAGAAAAAATAAATAAATTCAGTAAGCTACAAAGTGATGGTACAACCACAACTGAAAGATCAACATCTATCCCAGTCTCGTCAGAACAACTGACCAGCTGCTCATCTCAAGCCCATCAGGAAGAGGCGGAGCTTCAGGCGCTGTTTGACGGTCCCGCTCAGCACGTAAGTGGGAGGCTGAGCCCGCCTTCAGTAAACTGCCCACCAGAAAACAAAACTGAATCTTTAGCTCAGGCAGAACTAACGTCAAGTTCTGCAGCAATCAAGAACACTCCTGTAGATGCACCTAAAGCCACAAAGGTGGACTTTGATGATGACTGGGAAAAGGATGATCTTCTGCATGACTCGTTTGTGACTCAGAATGCAGTGCCTTTGAGTGTAGCTCAGAAACCAAGCCCTGCTCAGCCTGAGTCTGTCTCTAGCAAAAGTAATCTTGTGGCCAAGGTTAATCCCTCTGTATCTAAAGGCAGAAGCGTCTGCTTAGAGACTCAACAAAGCACCAGCAAAACCAGCACCTTTACCAAAACACTTCCTGAAGTTAAAACATCTAATCAATGCACTTTTAGGTCAGAGGCGCTGCTTCTGCTCACTGCGCCTGCTTCTGCCCAGAATCATACTACTGAAAAGCTGCTAACGACTTCGCCTGTGGACCAAGTAAAGCAGCAAACACATTCATCCCAGGATTCAAGACAAGTTGAGCTCGATAGAATGACCAGAGATTGTGGAGTTTCAAGTGTAGGGGCTTCTGCTCAGTTTGATGGGGTTGATAGAATGACCAGAGATTGTGGAGTTTCAAGTCAGACGGCTTCTGCTCAGTTTGATGGGGTTTCAGAGGAGGACATGAAGTCTCCGTTTGATTCCGATGCTCTGTGGAATGAAGAAGCCGACGAGGATCTCCTTTGTCAGGCTCGCGATGACGTGGAGAAGTTATCAGCAAGTCAGGAACAGCAAAGACGCAACGAGGAGTACAAAAAATGTGCACATGATAAATCAAGAAGCTTTGCATCTAAAGCACCTTCTTCTTCTGCCGCCATTTGTGCTCAGACCATGGGCATCAACAATAAGGGCCAACCACAAGAACCCACAAAGTCCTCACGCATCTTTGCCCGCTCGAATTCAGTACCGTGTCTTAGTGCTCAGCATTATGGGCATACACAAGGGAAAAGTCCCTTAGGACCCAGGCTTGGTTCTGTCAGAGCCACCTCACAGACTGTTAGGCCACACAGTGCAACAGTAGGAAATGCTTCTAACACCCACCATTACACCTTCAAAAGACATCTGTCTGACTCCATGACGCTAACCAACAAAGGTAAGCTCTGTGCACTGTGGCACCTGCAGAACATTAGCTCTGAAATTGCATTATTGAATACTCCTACATTAGATTACTGTAATCGGCAAGTTTGTTTAACCTGTTAAAGGAATAGTTCAAACATAAGTGAAAATCGTGTCATCGTTTACTCACCCTCATGTTGTTCCAAACCCCTATGACTTTCTTTCTTCCGTGGAACACGGGGGAATGTTTTCAGGAATATTCACAACACTCTTTTCAGTTCAGCGGAAGCACACCAGACATTTTTTCCTTTTTTTTTTTTTCTTCCCAAAAAGACATAAAAAACACCATAAAATGATCGTAACTGTCGTCCAGTAGACTTGAGCACTATATTCCAAGTCTTTAGAAGCCATTTGTGTGATGAACAAATTCAAACAGTGCTAATCATGACAACAAAATGATGAAATGATGATGAAAATGTTAGTTTATTTAGTTTTTTAATTAATTAATTAATTTAATTTTTATTTTGTTTAAAATGAGAACAAAGACAATTGTTCATCGTGATGATCATGATGATTATTTAAATTATTTAATCATAATGATTGATTTAAATTATTTTTTTATTTTGTTCCAAATTATTATTTTTTTTTTCTATTTTAATTTATTTTTAATTCAATAATTTTAATAAAATTTTAATTTACATCATAAAAAGCATATCTAATTAATCGAAATTATGAAATAATTAAACATCAATTTATTAAAATTTATTACATTATTAGGGACCTATGAAATCTGTTTTATTCTTCCAAAATTTGGTGTTTTTCATTTTATTTTTCTGGATTTTGTTTTAATGGTTTAATAAAATGTAAATAATAAAAAACATGTTGAATCAGTGTAGTTCATAAAACATTAACAAATTAATAATATACAATAATAATAGTACCCTATGAACTATTTTATTTTTTCCAGAAATGCTGTCTCCTGTTTAGATTTTTTTTCTGATTTTTTTTATTTAATACAAATTTAATACAGACTTCATATTTATCTTCATATTTCATCTTTTGCACTTTAATATTCACAGACACTAGCACATTTCATAATTTGATTAATTGAACAGTCCTACTTTTCATCCTAAATTTGCCAAATTCTGTGACATTTTTCCTTTATACTGTATTATTTTTATTTTTAACTGGATTCCACAATTCTGTCTGCTTTTTCTGCATCATAGGAATCATATAACCCTATAAAAGATAAGATATAAAATATATAAAATTGGTGGAGGCAATAGTGTTACAATTACTACAATTACATTTATAATAGTGTACTCGTCATAGTGTTATTTTTAGGAGATCTCATTTTCACAAAAGGGAATTGTTTTAATTTTTTTGTTTTGTTGAATGCTGATGCTTGTTTAAATTAATATATAAAATGTTTGAATATTTGGTTTAATGTTGCACTTTCTCATTGAATAAATAGGACGACATTTTAGTCACAGTAAAATTGACCAAAATGAATTAATATTACAGTATGAAATTTGACTCCATTTAAAGGATATTTTTGTCAAAAGACAAAAACTATGACTAAAACAAAACAATGTTAACACCGGTCCTGAAAATATGTCCCTTGCCATTAATCTTAAATCTCGTTTTCACTTGCATATTTTCAAACTTGGCAGTCCACGATTGGTTATGAGTGTCCTTAGTGTTAAACCAGGCAAGTTTGAGAGTTTGGAAACCTGAATGAGACTTTAGAGCTACAATGGTGGGAGATATGGATCAGAGTGTAAATCATTTTTGGTTTGTTTCTCTCACAGAACTATAGTGCAACTTATGAAGACTAACTATTAATAAGCAGCAAATTAGGAGTTTATTGAGGGAAAACTCAATTAATTCTTAATAATGAATATGTGTTCCCTATTCTAAAGTGTTACCACAAATTGTTACAAGAGAAAATTTAACTAGTAGTTCACTTTTACGACTGCTATATTAAACATTGACCAATTCTCACTATTAACTAGTTGCTTATTAGCATGCATATTACTATATATGCATGCCTTGTTCTGTATGACCATATTTTAGGTCCCTTAAAGGAACACTCAACTATTTTTGAAAATAGGCTCTTTTTCCAACTCCCCTGGGGGGGGGGGGGTAACTTGAATTTTTGTAAGGTCCTGGAGATCTCGTTTTTTTGTTGTTGTTGTCTTTATGTTCCATTTTCCTGTTAAAAAACAGTTATCACAGTATTAAAAGAAGCAAACAAAAAGAATCAAACATGGCTTTGTATGTTGTTGCTTTCAAAAATCTCTGTTAAAACATTTTGAACATTTACCGACTGCGATCTTTGGGTCCCTGTCAGTGCCTAACAACGTAATGACATAATTACTTCCAGAAATAGCAGTTCAGATGTCTAAACCTCATTCATGACAAATTACCGTCTTAATGTGTAATGCTCTTGAATATAATCTTTTAAAAATGACATTTTCTAGGCTAATAATAAAATATCACCCTCCACACCTGGTTTATTGTATATGTCACAATGTTAGTCATTGTGTGCCTCGGGGAATGTGGGCATATCATTGGGATCCGGCCCCGGGCCCTTCTCAGGTGTAAGTCCGTGTTTGGACTCCGCCGGTCGAGACGAAGCATAGCGTATTGAAAGCGTAAACCCCCTCGCCCCCCCACCCTCCTCTCCCACACAATTACTGTAAATCAAATGCCACAGTAATTTGGCAAGAGGATGAGGACTTTTTTATTACTGTGATTAGGGTTATGATGATGACTACAATTTGTTCCAAGCAGATGATGAAAACGCTAAACTCCCCTCCTCTCCCGCACAATTACTGTAAATCAAATGCCACAGTAATTTGGCAAGAGGATGAGGACTTTTTTATTACTGTGATTATGGTTATGATGATGACTACAATTTGTTCCAAGCAGATGATGAAAACGCCGGCTCTACAGGTGTTGAGTTCATTCAATATAGAAGTTGGTGAAGGATTTTTTTCTGTAATGTGGCATTATCAAGCTGCTGTGGAACAGAGTAATGGGTGTTTCGGTATTTTTGCGTCAAATATGGAGAGCAATTACTGATTATTGTGATCCACGCCATGCAGCGGGAGCATACTCTGGTATCAAGCTGTAGTGATTACGTCAAATTACTGTGCCTTGGTGCCAGATGCAATTTGCATTTCAGCATACTTGTTGTTTAGGCAGAAACAAGAAAACGGCTCTCAGACTAACCAAGAAGGAAACTCTAACTGTAAATTAGAGTTTGGAGACTAAAGCGTTCTTGAGCAGATGTTAATGTGGTGTCTTAAAGCTTAGTGTACAGCGATGACATTGTGCTTTCCCAAGAACTAACAACACCTAATCTTTATCACTCACCTGGCTTTTCAGTGGTGCCCAACGTAGTGTCATGCCCCCACTTACCAAGGTCAAATCAACCAGTGAGAGTCGACGAAAGGTGCTAACTTAAGCTCTGACAGAGTGTGTTATCTGTATGTTAACAGCATTAGGACACAGTATGTGTGACATCTGCCAAGTTTTAAGTTCTTAGAACTTCAACAGCCTGGGAAATTATAGGTCTTAAAGGGCCAGTTCACCCAAAAATTTCGTTTCTGTCATTATTTATTCACTTTCATGTGATGCCAAACCCATATGATGTTGGAACACAAAATGAAATGTTTTGAAGAATCTTCACACCGGCCTTTTCTAAATGATACAAAATATTTTTATGCATTCTATATTTCTCTATTTTAAACTCTTGTTTCATGAATAACTTTAACATCCACATAACCTTTCCGTTGCTCGCAAGGCTCTTTATAGAGGAAATAGGTTCTTTAGATTATTAAAATGTTCTTCACACTAAGAAAATAAAATTGTTATTTTTAGAACTGTTCACTGAAAGGTTCTTTGGGGAACTAAACGTGGTCCATATGACCCATATTATATCACTATATGAGTCTTCTGAAGTCATACAATAGTTTTGTTAGGCAAAAAGTAGAAGGTGAAAACTGAGAAGATGATCAGTGAATAACTTAAATTTTCGAGTATATATGATATATAAGTAGCACATGTAAATGAACAATGTTTGATGACAAATAAACAGAGAAATCTGGGTGCAGGTAACATGAATAAAGACACATTTAGACCTACATATACTACCAACACAATCTCAGAGCAATTTGTACCTATTTTACGTTTTGGCGAACTGGTGGCTCATAGAGAGCTGCAGCAATGACATCAAAACCCAGAAGACTAATTCTCATTCCCTTTAGACTTTACTATGGGTTTTTATTATGGGGTTTTTCAATTTATGAGTAAAACAATGTCTGTGGTAAATATAACTTACAAATACTTGGGCGTTTTGCTCTACAATGTAAATTACACACACCCATACCAAAAACGTGGATTTTGAGTTTCTATTTAAAAACGTATGTTTGTAATAAGTAACTATATAAAAACGCTTGGAGTGTGAGTGTGTGCAGTTGTCATGATCCCAGCCTGTGTTCCCCTGTCTTGTGTTAAGGACTCTTGTTATGAAGTGTATTCTTCTGTTGTTTCTGTGTCTGCTTCCTGTGTTCAGTTCCTGTTTCCCTGCTTGCCATAGATTCCCTTGTTTGTCGCCATAGCAACCCTATAGTTAGTTACCATGACAATTAATCACATTCACCTGTCCCTTGTTATCCCCTGGTTATCTTGTGTATATATACCCCAGTGTTTCCTCTGTTCTTGGTCTGGTGTCGTCCTACATGGCTGTATCATGTGCTTGTTGTCAGATCTGTTTTCCTTGCCCGTGTCTGGATTTTTGGATGTTTGTTTGAATAAATGTTTGTGACTGCACCTGGTTCCTGCTTTCCATGATTCTGAAGCAGTCATGTTACGGCAGTTTACAGTGTACAACAAGTCAAGTTTCAAGTCAAGTTTATTTGTACAGCGCTTTTCACGATACAAATCATTGCAAAGCAACTTTACAGCAAATTAAGTTTCTACAATATTTAGTGGTAGCTTATCAGTGGTGACTGTCAATTAATGTACATATGGCAGAAATGTAACAAAAACAATTTTTAAAGTTTGGGCTCCTAAACATTAAAATTTTTTTTTGTTCATTTATTTTACATTTTTCTGGTTTAATCACGATAAGACTTTTTCTAGATCCTGCATTAAATTTATATTTTGACCTCACTATTCGGGGAACAGACACAGTCTTTATAGATTGGACAGCACAAGTACTTCTATCATTTAAGCGGGTAGAACACAAGTCATCGGGGCAGTTATTTGAGATTTGACTTACTAATCTTGAACAAAATGTCCAAGAATCTTCAAGTTATGTTTACCACAGATTTAATTTTTTCATGAATTGAAAAACCCCATTATAAAAACCCATCAGAAAATCTCAAGGGATCTCATGCCGAATTCTTCCAGGTTTTGACATTTTGGCTGCAGCCCTCTATTCGCATGAATTTGTATGGTCTCATTCGCAAGTTTTTGTACGATCAGCTCACGGCCCACTGATGGTTAGGTTTAAGAGATTAGGGGTGGAACTTCATGTTTTTTTTGTTTTTTTTAATTGCATGTTTTCATACGAATCATCACATATGAATTTATACAAAATCGCCACCTCGTAAAATAGTTATGTTTCTCATGAGGTCAGTATACCACTGACCTTGTAACAATGCAAAGCTGGTTGAAAATCTGCAGATGTATTGTTTAGGAAGATCTGGAATAGCCTGTAGCACAGGTGGAATAGACTTAATATACCTTGAAGCTATAGAGGCAGATTCTTTACAGTACATTTTTCCTTTTGTGAGCCACATTAAAAATAACCGCATACAGGTTTGGAACGACGTGAGGATGTGAATAAAATCTGAATTTTCATTTTTGTGTGAACTATCCCTTTAAGCCCTTGTCATGCCATAATCATAACAAGTGAGCTTTTCTTTTTGGTACTGAACATGCAAATAGAACATGAGATACTATCTAACAGCAGACAATTTGATGGTTTTCCCATGCATTATGCCATGCTTGAAATTACTGTTGTTGTCAGATTACGACACGAAGGTATGACTAATACACAAAACAGTGGAGCGGGGGCGCAAGGGGCTGCAGTTGTCATCAAGCTAAATGAACTGTGAATATTTTCACGGTGCGTGTCATTAGCAGCTTAGATTTGTTTCAACAAGGCTTACCTGAGGGCTCTATTCATTGGCCCCCAGGTATGAACGGGCTAATGCACACTCT